AACATATAGGCTACTTATTAAGATTTTTTATTTCCGCGCGGACGTAGTCGCGGGCGATAGCTAATATCAATATAATTTATGAAACGGAAGCGATATGGAGACCTGATTAGCGTTAGGAGAAATGTGTGTCAACGTACCTAAATATATAGTGACCTATTGCGTATTCCGTGAATTTGTAACTGTATTCCAAAACGTGAGTCGTATACAAACGGAATGGACGATTTCATTCTACAAACAAAGCGAGAAGTTAAAGCTATGAATTGTTGATGTTATTTAGAAGACAAAAGTGAAGATGACAAGTTAACACTAGTTAACTTGCAAAGAGTTTTTTCAATTAAGTCATCTGAAGTTATTAGACATTAGCAGAGACAACTACAGGCTTTTGTATAAGTTATTATAAAAAGTAAAAGAGAAAGAGATAGAAATATATCTAGGTATAAGGAAACTTTCCTCTTTTATTTCTAAACCCTAACGATTGATGTTGGGTTATGTCCTTACACTATTTTTTTTAAATACAGGATCTTTCTAGATTGTAATACTGATTTTAATAAACTTTTAATATTGTTTAGTTATTTATAAGTCAATCCCAAACAAAAATACACACGACTACATATAGATAATCTATATTAAAACACTTAATTCTCATTTCCAGAAAACTAGTCGCTCAGTTCAGTCGTGAGGAGACATCACTGCTCGTCCTGCGTGTTATGGTAGGTCTTATAATCCTGTACGATTGGGTGCATCCCTCAGGGGCTTTCTGTCGCTCCTCATCCGTTGACGTCAAGGGCTGCGTCAAATTCCTTCAGCAACAACCACCGGCGAAAGCGGAGCCGTTGCTGAATGCACTTCGGTACACGACTAAGCATCTCAACCATCAGTCCACGCCGAAGAATATCAGGGCCCTGCTAGCGGCGTGAGGACACCATTCAAGCCTTGCATGTTGCTGTGGGGACTGATTCGACAATAACCTGTGGGGATTTCTCGTCGCCATTTTACGTTGCTCTTAGACGGGTCTGTTTATTGTAGACCAATTTACTACTTTACATTCTTTTCGAAAATATTTAGATTCTTCTCCTTTAAACATGACAGTAAATTTAACAAAAATCTCTGTAGATGAGTGGCCTTTATTATATTATACAAATAGTTGTGAGTTCCTAAAAAGGAACTTTAGTATATAAAACTCCTTAAAAGAATCAAAATTTATAAGATTTTCTATTAGACAAAAATTTCATTAAAAAAATAAAGCAATTCAAAAAAGTTTGCAGAACGAAAAATTAATGTGGTAAATTAAAGGAAATACGGCTTTACATACGGTGAACTGATTCCTTATCAGGAAATCGAACAGATAAAACATTCACATAAAATATGTCTCATTTTTTGCAAAAAGAGAAAAAGAGATAACAAATCTTTTGATTCCGATAGCGTCCTCAACATTTGGTCTACAATAAACAGACATTGCTTAGTTAAATTAGCAATAGACATAAGATAATCTAGAAATTAAATACATTGTTTAATAAAAACGTTTTCCTACCAAAATACTACTAGAATACTACGCTTAGTTTCAGAACCGTTAATGTGGGTTTCCACTGTTAAAAGAACGTATTATCGAGATGATCTGTTTTAAACTCTTGCAGTGGAAATTCACGGTTAAATTTAATACTTCCATTTCATCCATTAAGTATGTATAAGTGATTGTGAGATTGATATTAAAGATTTGATTGTAAATATATAGCACAATGTAAGTTAATATATATAATAAAAAAAATCCTGTTTAAAAAGTTAAAAATGTCAACAATTTTCAAAAATAACATAACATATTCAACACTACCAAGAAATTATTTCATAATAACGATACTTACATTTAAATGTAGTTCCAAAAATATAAACAATATTAAAAAAAAATATTTTTGTGGGTAGTTTTAACTTATTATAAAAATAAGATCGTAACTTACATTGTGTTAACTAAAATAGATAGCAAAAGTAAAAATATATTAAAATATATAAATTATATGAGATAGAATTCAATACATATAGATTATATTTATGATACGAATCCGCTTTAAAAGCAAAATCCTTTCCCTGCATACGTTTATTTGTGAGAAATCTTTCCCTTACCCCCACTCATGTGCAAGGTTAGTAAATGTGTGTCAAACTCAATCAAAATCAACGAGTCAAATTGCAAATTGTAAACTAGTATAAACCTATTAAATCCTAAGAGACTATTAAGAAATTTATAATAATCTAGAAGTATTATTAACTATATCGAGATATGAAATAACTAAAATACTTCTGACGAGTCTTTGTTAAGACAAAATAACAGAAGTTTGTTGTTAGTTAAACCATAGGATACAAGATTATTCTGCCTTAACTTCTTTAATAATTTGCACTTATTATTAATTCATCTCACTATTGTTGTATTCTTTGATACACTTTTTAATCTATATTCATATTTTAGTCTTATCTTTAACTTTAAAATGCTTAGTCAAACAAGGATATCTGGTCCCCTGAAAGACACTGCTACTGTAGTTAGTACACAAAAGAAAATATGACAAGCCAGCTTCTGAACGACAGGAGCTGACATTTTTTTATATTGACAGGTTGGCGTTAGTGAGCTGTCATAATTTAGTTCTTATTACCCCCGAGTCAAATAACCTTGTCGGTCTACATTTAGGTCAATCGAGGATAAAGTTCTGTCAGAAAATTTGTTAAAATTACATGGACATGAAAAAAAACAATACAGCTACAGTACAAACATGATCTTGACACTGTGACATTGACAGGATGGCGTTAGTTAGCCGTCATTATTTAGTTTGACTTATGCCCACCTGTACAGATATCCTTGTCGGTCTATATATCCTTAAGGGAATGTCATTTAACGTTGTTCATATACAAATATTTCACAATTGTTAATATATTAATTAAGTAGACAATTGTGTCATATGTTATTGTTGCCCTATTATGACATCGTTATGACATTATTATGACAAGATTAAAGCAGTATTGAGGATCGTTATTGATACTTTTTCAAAACTCAATCAATATGTGTTCTAAAAGTTTGCAAAAATTTATAGCATTTTAATTATGAAATTCAATCGAAAGAGTTTTTTTTTAAGAAAATGAGGCTTAAAATATACCAAATTATAATATAATGTGAAATCCTTTCGATAAATTTAATATTGACTTGTTATATGATTACCACTGCCTTCGACCTATTTATGCGATTTTGAATGGAATTTTTATATAATGTTTTATTAACTGTGTATAATTTAAAACTTATAATAATAATTGATAAATAATATTATATTAGTTATTTGAGATTGAAATAACTTAACTTAGTGGTTAAGTTAGAATGAACAGCCGCTTTATGCGCACAAAGTTAAATCAATCTGGTTTAAATATGAAATCGTAAACTATTTTAATTGATTCGATTTTTGTTTTGTCTTCCATTTTTAAATAATAATATTAAATACAGATTGAATACAGAACTCTTCAATAAAAAAAGATCGATGTTATTTTTGTTCCTTTTTCATCTGTCCAAATTCTAGAATTTTCGGAAAAGTTTAAAAAAATAATTTTTAAATGTTTCTCCTATGAATATTCGAATTTAATTGTCGTTTCCATACACTTTTGCACAATAATACTTTAGGGTTTAGATGTTTAATGTATCTTTTAGTGAATTTAGTATGGTTAGAAAATGTATCGATTGCACAGTTGGCACAAAATTATAGGTTATTTATAGATTAGGTAATTTTAATCTCGTTGATATATCTTCATAATTTTAACAATGGCTGTTGATTTCACTGTCAATCTCTACTTATTATTCTTCAAGTTGCATTTACATACGATTAGATAATAAACTTGGATTAATATAACGATTTGACAGCTACGAAATATTCCATTACATGCAAAAAATGTCAACTGTTTAAGTTCAAATGTTTGACTTAAAAACATAAAAATATTTTTAAAAACTTGTTAAACTAATTAGTAAAACGGAACGTAAATGTGCATGGAATATTTCAGAGTTGCCATCTTCGTTATAAAAACTAAATATAAATAATGAATTGTAATAAATAAATCCGAAACCCAACACTGCCCAAAGACATGTCTATTTTTGTAAACAACATTTAAAAAAAAATGTTTTAATGTCCTGGTATTTGGATTAAACACTCCAAGCCGAGTCTAAAATTATGTTTAAATGGACAAAAGTGATAATACACTAGAGGAACTTTGGCTTTATAATTGTAGCGATTTAGAATGCGTTGAAAAAGTTACTTGTAGTCAATATTAGTCAAAAGCACAATTATTACATTCATTTATTATATTATTTAAAATTAAAAAGTATATTTAAAGTATACACTTGGGATAATATCACATAGTTTGAAGAAATTTAAAGAATTGACAGAAAAATTCTATTGTTTTTTTTATGAAGTGACCGCTTCCCATAGACATACGCAATTGCATATGCGTTGCCTAGCTTCAATCAACATAGGAGAGGATGCATAGAAAGAAAATATTTTCCCTTTGCATGCATCCTTTCATCTGTAAAGTCTACTTCCACTTCCCATCTTTTCCTTATAAGAAAATGAGTGTGACAGAAAAAAGGACTAAAATTAGGCCTCCGGGACGCAATTGATTTCTAACATCAATTGTACTATTTTAAAATAATTAGTAATCTTATGTAGGAACTTGACAACTGTCAACTGATACCAGCACCACCTTAAAACTAAAAGTAATCAGTTTATCTCCATTATTTAACTTCACATTTGAGTAAATTTAAGATGTTTTCCTAAGTGTATACTTAAAAGTGTTATAGTAAAATTTTGTATACTTTTTTTTTAATTAAAAATTTACTTCGTATAGAAAAAAAAATGTTAAACCTATATTACCAATATTTAATAACATCCTCGGTTATAGGTCATGCAAATGACCTATTGCATGTTATAATTTATTTATTGTATATAAAAAATACACCAAAGTTATAAAATAATAAAACTTTAATCTCTAATAAATTGTGTTTTATTTATTAAATAAATTTACAAAAACATTTAATACTTATATAATATTTACAAAAGTTTGATATGCTTGCCAATCAATTATTTGCAGGTCTCGGCTTTAGAATTAACTTGCCAGTTTCGTCACAGGACATGTTGAAATCATTTAAAACGGAACGAGTGCGAGCTGTAATTATACTGGGCGCTATCACCTTCCTATGCACGCCCAACATGAACAGCAGTACTGGAAATAATACATAAATTATTGAAACAATGCTAAGAATCAATTAAGTCAATGAAAAGTAATAGTACTCAGATGTGGGGAATTCCACACTACTCTACATAAAAGGCCTAATTCTAAACAAATTTGACAAAACTAGCATAAAACATGTGTTTACAAACTTAACCCATTCTGTGCCGCAAAATCACTTTGCAAGTTCATTTCAAAATGAAATTTTATAGCATTGAATGTATTAATCATATGCATTCATGATAACAACAAAACCCGTACATGCCCTGTATTTATATAGACTTACTACTACTACTACTAAACATTAAGTTTATACTGTTAAGAATAAAATCAGACATTGAGCCGGTGTATTGGCGCAGCACTAGCCTTATTGAAATGTCAACATTTATGTCTCCTCACTAATCAATTTGACACTTGACTTTGTAACGAATGTGATCATGCATCTAACTAATAATGACTAAATGTACCTATAATTATGAAAAAGATAGTCACCTAAGAAAGTAGATGTAAATGCAAAGAATGGATGGTTCCACAGCGATTGTGTCAGAGATACCACAGGTGTTAGAGGATCTGTCAACCAGTGCCATGCTGCTATCGCTGTGCAGATAGACACAACCGCTAACAAAACTGAAATAAGATTACAGAGAGACATTAAGGAAGGAACATAACAATTATTATATCCATACATCTATCTTTGCACCATGAGAATAATTATTTCAAACTAACCTGACTACAATCATTTGCATGATTTTACACACATCAACAAATTTAAGAATGGTTGTAAAATATTTACGATGAGATAACATGAAAAATTACTTGTACTTACTAAGATTCCACTAATTATGTACTCAAGTGAAAACGGGTTTTGCTATTTATTTCTTTATTAAGATATGTGCTTACTATTCAAATTTTAACAATTTTATTCACTTATTTAGCATTCCAGAACATTCAAAATATAATGCCACAATCTTTTTATTCATACAGAATATGAGAACAATTTTTATTGATAAAAAAAACTCATTAAAATATAACTTACAAAGACTGTTATAAAAACAATTATGTTTAAGAAAAAACCACATAGTTATTATATATAAGGCTTTATTCCTTGAAAATGTTTAGTTATTTTTGAAGTAGCATAGTACACACAAGTTAATAAGTGAATATTTTGAAGAACAATCTCTATTTGGTACATATTTATCTTTATTGATAATTTATTTGTGACTTTTTTGTGTCTGACCTTTTTTAAGTTTTAAAATCGAATAAAAACAACAAGGTAGTTAGCAGTTACCACACAATTGTAAAGTGTAATAATATAGGCAATGAATTGTATGTTGCTACTTACTTCTCCATCTCATAGTGGCAGGTTGAAGGCATGCTATAACTTCTGTTAGCCGACGTTCGAACGCCTTCAAGTCTGTAAGAGCATCTAACACATCAATCATTTATGTGAATGTAGATGTTAGTAATATCGATAAAGATATCCGTTTAGGTTTAAAATTAATACAAATCTTTACCTTAATTTATGTGAAATTAATTTATGTTAAATTATAAATACAAAATCACAATAACGAATTCAACTTACCATCGCAAGCAGTTTGTTCTAGTGACATTTTAATAGAAAATATCTCGTTAACCAGTCTTTATTTAATTATACACTTGTGAAAAACATATTTATTTTCAAGTTAATGTTTTTCGAAATATTGGTTGATATAAAGTTGACAATGACGTTCATTTAATGTCAAAACAAAATCGTTAGTGTGACCAGTCAATTCAGCTGCCCACTCAAAATAAGTAGTAAGCTTTTACTCAAATGATTAGATTGCGAATTACGATTATTATCAACGCTATTGAGTTATTGATTATGTGATAAAATTTAATGTTAAGAAAAATAGCGATAAACACTCGTCGCATTATTCGCTTCGCTTTTCACGACGCTTTTAGTCGCTATCCCGATACGAAATAACACTTCCTATCTCTACTGCCATTTCCTGCTTGCTCTAATTCGATTGACGTGATACATTTATACTGTCAAAGTACAAAGGTCAATAGAAAGTTTACAGGTATTAAAACTTTAACTTTTTTATTATATTAACTTTAAATAACTTTTTCTCTATGGTCAAAGTGCTATTTTTCGTTACGTTTAATTAATATCTTATTAATTCAAATTAAACATACAATGCCGATGTGTAAATATTCATCCGCGTGCCGACTAAAAGTAGTATTTTTTATGTTAAGTATTCTTGTTAATAATATACTAAGTTTTTTACAGATAAATTAAATATTCCTGTACGTTTTATTAATTATACAAAGAATAAAGTTCTTATATTAATCAAATTACAAACTCCAAAAATGAAAAAGACACAGTACCATTCACAAATTGACAAAAAAAATTCTGATATCTATAAAAATGTATTCTTTACAGGATGCTTTTTGCAAGACTTTTAGTAAACAGTGCGAAAGTTTTGGTCCCTAACGTTAGGACCATGGCATCACAGGGTGGACCTTTGGTCGATTTGGCTGTTGACAAAGACGGTATAGCTGTGTTAACTATGAACAGAGCACCTGTTAATAGTCTAAACCTAGAACTGCTACAAGAAATCAGTAAATCATTGGATGAAGTAGCAAAAAACAAAACAAAAGCAATGATTCTTACTTCTGTAAGTATTAATAACATTTAAAAATAATAGCTAGAAAAAAAAAATAGATTTTTATATTTTTGTTATGCATACACTCAAAAAGTACTGTTCATTTTTTACATTAATATAGTTAATATAATTTTCAGGCCTCACCAACAGTATTTTCAGCAGGATTAGATATAATGGAAATGTATAAACCTGATTTAAAAAGGGCGGAGCAATTTTGGACAACACTACAAGATGTATGGTTAAAATTATTCGGTTCCAATTTTATTACCGCTGCTGCTATTAATGTGAGTAATTTAAATTAAAAACTATTATCATTATTCCATCCTATTGAACTTGAAATAAAATATTGCTACAAAACTAACTTTAGTTTGAAGAAGCACATATATATGTCTATCAGTTCTATACACATGTATTATCTTTCAATTTATTACCTTAATACAGAGAAGACTATGAGAAAATTGCTATAAGTTATAATTTAAATAATATTCAATTATATATTAAACAAGTTGTGAATTAAGCAAAAAACTGAATTATTAGTAGTAGTATTAGTAGCCTATGTGTTATTCCAGATTATGTTCTTGTATATTCCATTGAGCCTCCTGAAGATTCCTTCAAACAAATATCCATCCATCCACTCATCTAAACATTCTCTAGAATATATATTTATTTATTACAGGGCCATGCACCTGCTGGTGGTTGTCTCTTATCTATGTCCTGTGAATACAGGGCTATGGTGAGTGGTAAATATGCTATAGGTCTGAATGAGACAGCCCTAGGTATTATTGCTCCAACTTGGTTTATGGATACAATGTGTCATACAATACCAATAAGACAAGCGGAATATGCATTAACTACTGCTAAAATGTTCTCAGTGGAAGAAGCACTTAAGGTTAGTCTTGTGTATTTCTGATTAATATCGTACAAATAATTATTATAAGACACAGGTAAAAGATTAAGTTTCTATAGAAATAGAGGTCGCGCTCGACTCTGTCCACGCAGGATTGAAAAAACACGTTATAGAGCTTATGTGTTCTTCCAGACTTCTATTTGTATACCAAATTTCATCGAGATCCCTCCAGCTGTTCTGGAGATACCTTCAAAGAATCCATCCATCCATCTAAACATTCTTATAATTTCTAGTTCTTTTCGTTAATATAATGGACTTAATAAGTAAATACTAGTTAATATTAACAAATAATTTACTATAGGAATAGCTCTTGTCATTGTTATTAATTTGATTTGTATGCAGGTTGGTCTAATTGATGAAGCAGCAGCAGACAAAGCAGATGCAATCGAGAAATGTAAACAGTTTATAAGGAAATTCGATAAAATCCCACCTCTAGCACGAGCTATCACCAAACAGAAGATACGCCAAGCACCATTGGCAAGATTACAGAAGAATAGACAACAAGATATTGAAGAATTCCTAGGTATTCTGAAAAACCCTCTAATCCAACAAGGTCTGGAAAAGTACATACAGGCATTGAAGCAAAAAGCTGCCAAATAAAATATATTAAATCTAAGTTTGTTTATATACATGTGTTATTTAGCTATAGGTATAATTTTTTATATTCATGTAAACTTTTGAATTATACAGTTTTTAAATGATTTATAATGTTATGTGATTAAATAAATAATTTTTATATTTTTTCTTTCGTTTTTTGTAATGAACAAACGCGAAGCAGATGTTTATACCTAATTCCCGCATAACTTTACATCTAAATTAAGAATCTTATTACTTTTCCCTCAATAAGATTCAAGAGCAATAATACATATAAAATATGTATTAATAAAAGGGTAAGCTCATTGCGACCCCTCTGACGAATAAAGCTACTTTATTCGGACCTTCATGTTAGATGTAACTTTATTCAACCGCCATCTATTGACCGATTAGCGAAAAAAAGTACATTTTATCTGTGATCAAATTAAACACAAAAATTTGAGACGCCAATGCCACACTTCAAGGCCTTTTATATTATCAATAATAATTCAGTGTTTTTCGATGTTGCTTGACGGAACTATATAGTGTAAATTATATTTACCGATTCAAAGATAGATATTAAATTTATAATAATGTGATTTTAGTAATGGCTTTTCATTAAATTGATAGTTAAGATAAATTGTACAGCTGTAAATAACATCTAAATTTGAGAATAAGTTTGACTTTAGCCACATCAAAGTAAGTACCAATCTATGTTTGTTTTTTTTTTGTACTAAATACCCGACTATGTGTACCAGTGTGTACTTGCATGGTAGAATAACCGATTCCACTGCGGAAACACTTGTTTAAAAATATAGTATCTCCTTCAAAAAACTGTGATAATAAAACAATTTGTACGATAAAAAATTATAAGTATAAGATAAACATTTCGATAATAAATAAAAATACAGACTGCCCGGATTTCTTACACTCGAAAATCGAGGAAGAAAGTTCTATCGTTTAAGATAGTCTTTTAAAGTTTTCACATTAATTCTAGGATGTATTTTATACGAAGAGCTTGGAAGTGTACAAATTTATGGTCGCCTATTAAGAGGTCCTATACCATACAAACACCAGTGGTAGATTTAACAGTGGACAACGAAGGTATTGCCACACTCACCATGCAACGACCACCTGCCAATACATTCAATTTGGAATATTTACATGAAATTACTAATTCGCTTAATGAAATCTCGAAACAGAAAGTTAAAGGCGTCATTTTAACTTCAGTAAGTTATAAAGAATTTTATTAACTATAAATTATTTAACTTCGAATTTCACAACTAATACAATAGAATAAAAGTATTGCACGGGAATCGTAACTTCCGGGATCAAAGATTAAGCCTTAAACCTACATATGTGTTTTTTCCAGACTATTCTCCACTTCTAAACCAAATTTCATCGAGATCCGTTTCGGACCTACCTTCTAACAGACATACATCCATCTAAACATTCACATTTGTAATTGTAAGATATTTTATTATTAGGTTCTTAACTTTGTATTTTTCTAAACTTAATTATTATAATTAATGTATTGTTATTTCCACACAAATCAACTTTCGCGATCAACATTTTGTGTTGACACTTTAAAAACAAACGCATAAATACATTTTATTGTCATATGTTTTATGTTATATGCATATTCTTTCAGGCAATACCTAACATATTTTCCGCAGGACTAGATATTAATGAATTTTATAAGCCAGATTTACAAAGACTAGAAAACTTCTGGAGCTCTGTTCAAGATGTTTTTATAAAACTTCTCGACTTAGACTTCGCTACTGCAGCAGCAATTAATGTAAGTTACTTTTGTTATGTCTATAATATCATGTGTAAATAAAACTAGCTCTTGCCCGCGACTCTGTCCCCGCAGGTTACAATAATAGATAGCCGATTCTCAAACCTACTGAATATGCATATAAAAATCGATCAAGCCGTTTCAAAGAAGTATGGTAACTTATATTGTGACACGCGAACTTATTTAATTAGCACTGCTTTATATTCTTTCCTTTTTACGTCATGATCAAACATCCGCAGATTTGCGCAAAGAATTCAGATATATGAATCAAACCACACTGAGCCAGTGTTGGCCTAATAGTATCCCTAATTTAGGGTCGGCTTGAACCTGTCAGTGTTGACGTATATAATAAACCTTCTAGCCATAATCCTGGATACATGCAAAAAGTGCATTTTTCTTATATTGCAGGGCCATGCGCCCGCAGCTGGTTGTGTTCTGTCCCTATCGTGCGAATACCGTGCCATGGTGAACGGTAATTATAAGATAGGTTTGAACGAGGCGGCTCTAGGCATCATAACCACGCCGTGGATCCAAGCGATGATGTACCAGGTGATACCGATGAAACACACCGAGACAGCGTTGACAACTGCCAAGTTATTCGACGTAGATGAAGCTCTACAGGTAAGTTTGGTTGTAGAATTTTTTTTTAAAGAATATATCGTCATCCCACTCATTCCCTTCATAGAACAAGGACAACAATATGTCTTGATGCTTAGAATGCACGACTTCACGTCTTAACTTCAACGTGTTCCTAGTTTATGTAGTATCAAAAGTCGATTATCGTCCATCATTTTAGTCGTCACTCTCTCGTCATAAAATCAAAGCATCCATGTCTTGAGAAAAACTAAAATCTGTTTTACAGATCGGCCTAATAGACGAAATAGCATCAAACAAGGAAGATGCTATAAACAGATGCAAACAATACATCAGAAAATTTGATAAAATTCCTCTGCATGCGAGGGCTTTGACAAAACAAAGAATGCGACAAACTCCAATAAAAATACTACGAGAACAACGTGAAGAAGACATTAGAATGTTCGTTGATGTAGTTATGAACCCATCAGTGCAAGATAATTTAAAAGATTACGTTGAAAAACTTAAAAATAAGAAAAAAAAGTAAATAAGTAAATCATATTGTTTCCTTTAATGTTTATTTCTTCAGAAGAATTACTTCGGTTACAGTATAAAAAAGTAAGTAAAATAAATTACTTGTATATTTAATTTATTAGAAATCATCTCCAAGTAAAGCAGCCGCCTCGGGATCCACAGCCTCTGTCATGCTCATCTGCATGTCAGTCCACGCCTCTCTCTGATTGTCTATGAAGTAATTAATTTCCAATATTCTATCTCTATTCCTTTTTATTTCATTGCTGTAAACAATATAAATTACGTTTATTTTAAATAGTATCATTATTCTAAGGCGTAACTAGGAAATAACAGTGCCCCTAACCCTAACTGACGGCCACGGAAGAAAACGAAACAAATAATATAAGGTATTTTATGACAGCTTAAAAATACGTATAAAATATTCCTTTGCTTTACTCTTTAGAGCGTCGGTGGCTCAGGAGAGCGTCGGTGGCTCATGGGTCAAGCACTTGGCTTGCAATCTGCAGGTCCTGGGTTCCAATCCCGCCATGTACCAATGTGGTTTTCTATTTCTCATTTACATATGTACATTTATCCGAAGTTCTTACGGTGAAGGAAAACATCGTGATGCAACCTGCACATATCTGAGAAGAAATTCAAAGATATGTGTGAAGTCAACCAACCCGCACTGGGCCAGCGTGGTTGACTATGGCCTAATCACCCCTAAGTTAGGGTAGGCTCCGAGCTCCTCAGTGGGGACGTATAGTGAGCTGATGATGATTTACTCTAGCACTTTCTATCTATTGTTTACTTACTCATTAGTCCCGGATACAAGGTGATCGCGCCAGTTATTAGCCCGCGTCATCAGCAGATCCTCGCGAGCATCGATGAACCGCAGGTGATTGTCAGACGATTGAGCCACGAGGTTCATCATCGCTTCTCGATCCATCATCACCTGAAAATTACAATGGGTATCATCAACACTTAATATAGACAGAAACTTTAAGTATGACAATGGAGTAAGATTTTTTTTAATATGTAATCAAGCTTATGTTGAATCGCTTTGTCGAGAAATCAGTTACCAATAGACATTGTAAAAGAACCAGATGATACGTTTCCATACTTAAGTCTGCCGTGAGATTCTCTGTTAAACACGAACGGGCGAAACTTACCCATTCAGTATATATAATTTCTATTTTATAAAAAATAACGTGCTTGGAACTTAGATAGTTGAAAGAAGTTACCTCAAATAGTTCCGGAGTCGCGTCACCTAGCAACACTTTATTACCGACCAGCTTTGCGAGGTGATCGCTCTGTCGTGTCGACCACACCAGCTCGCTCTCGCGCCACGACCCGAACGCACCGCGAGACACCTCCAGTAGTTTAGTTATCATCTCTGTCAGGTTAACTGCGAATTGCGTACGCGATTCCTAAACATATAAGACAAAGTTTAAAGATATAGAAGGGAAACGTAAGGCTTAGAGCAAGACACTTAATCAAGGCGAGTCTAGGCAAGGTACAGTTTTAGGGCAGTTAATATGTATATTTAAATTAATAATTTTATTCACCTCGCATTGTTCATAGAGTTGCATTTCTATAGTCATCAGATTCTTCCACATTTCATACAAAGAGTCATTGAAGGCTTCCCCAAGGTCAACAATGTTTGGCTCCAATTCTTCCAGCGTCGCTTGCTTGCTCATGAACTTTGCGATTACTTCGTTCATTTGATTTACGAGCCCTACCTTCTTTTCTTCAAACTTTTTTACTATCCTACAATTTGTAGAAATCCATCTTTATGTTAAAAATGCTTATAATGTATTACTTTATTATTAATTTTTAATATCATCTTGCTTTTCGTTTTTGTTGGTAGTTTCGTTTAGTTGCTCTCCTCCGTCGATTAAAGGTAGGCAACGCATATGCAATTCCGTATGTCTATGGGCAACGGTCCCCTCGCTATTTCAGCGATTTCAGGTGGCCGCTCGCTTGTTTGCCACCTTCTGATATAAAAAAAAGCTCCATTGATTTCTAGGCATTTTATTTTTGTCTGTGATCGGTGTTTTTCAACAATACAATGCAAGATGATAATCATTGACCAATACAATATATTATAAGATAAACATTTTCGATTTTTTTTCGTATAACCTTGGATTTCCACTAACCGTAACATATGCACAAAAATATCGTTATCCTTCTCACTCTTTTTTTATATAAAAACAGAGATATGAATATTTTAAACTCGAAGTAGTAATCTTACAACTTACTCTTTACTCTTACTAACGCTGTCTGCGAGTGCATTGTCCACCAGGTCTCTGAACAGTTTCACTTCTATCTGCCTCGTGTTGTAGGCACCTTGAGCGTATTCCACTAGTCCTGCCATCGTCTCCACATATTGTTCTTTGTAACTTAAATATTAAATTAGTAATTACCTACTACGTATACCATTTGAGAAGAAATTCAAAGATGTATGTAAAGTCAACCAAATCGTAATGGGTCACAGAATATAACCAACATTCACCTAAGAATTAAATTAAAAAAAAACCTAAACATTACAAACTCCCATTTTATGCTAATATACGCATAATTGTGCAAACTATTTCTCTCATTATTTAATATAGTTTCATGTATCATAAACAAATAATTGTAGTGTAAATTATAAATAGAAATATTACTCTTCGTAGAAATTCAACAATTCTCCACCGAGCATAAGCAGTAATGAACCATCGGGATCCTTCTGGAACATTGAATCCAATAACTCAGGACCGCTGAGATATTCCACAAAGGATAGCGCATAGAATTCGACTTTTGCTTCGTATTCCTCTTTAGCTATTCTTTCCTTTTCAGCTTTTTCATCAGCCTCGTCTAACCTTCGTAACAAGCCCCTGTCGAAAAACACATACCAAATATTCTTTCTTACATATCAGACAAACGATTGCCTGGGATATAGTAACACTAGTCCGTTCATCACAAGGAAAATTATTAAAATCAAGGAAACAGTATAACTTACAAAATCGATTGCACTTACCTAAATAAAGCAACACCACTTTCTCTTTCTTCCTCCGTAATTATTTTGTAATCCAAATAAGTGACTTTAGTCAACGCTGACTTGAGAAATTGATAAGCCATGGGATCGTCACAGCAAGGGTTACCCCTGAAACTTACAGACCGAAGGAACCGAAATCTTCTCAAGTACGCCATCTATACAAATTGTCATATTTATCAGATACGTAATTAAAAAAATACTTTCTTAAAAGCACTTTAATGTAACTTCACGTATACCTCTTTGTAATCCTCAATTAAATTGTCTCCAATACTAAAAACGAGTAGTTTCGTTAAGGTGTCTAAATTTTCTAGCTTCCTTATTTTATTGTGAAACAAAGTCAAAACTTCTAAATTGACTAATGCATCCAAATTTTCAATTCTTTCAATCTTGTTAAATGATAAATCTAATTCATTTAGGCCTGTTAATAATTCAAGATTTTCTATTTTTTCAATCAGATTATGGGCTAAAGTTAGTTTCGTAAGAGATTTTAACATCCAAAGATGATCGATTCGTAATATGTTTTGAAATTCAAGTCGAACTATTGTTGCTTCGTCTAAATGGACACCTTCTTCCGCGAATAGTCTCCCCGCTTCTTCAGTTGGTCCTGTATTTTAATATTATTAATATTGTGTTTAAGATATATTTGCTATTAAAATATCATAGGCACATTCGGCACCTTCGATCAGTAGGTTCTCTACGGAATAAAGAATGCCTCCATAACTCCATTTTGTTGATATTTAAGCAAAATTGAGTCTTACCGTATTCAAGAATGCATCGTGTGAGCATGGCATTATCTATAACACCAGGTTCAATATCTGGGTGAATGATAAGGCTGTTCAAAGATTTCTTTTCAGTCATCTTCTTAATGTCTGCTAGATACTAAGAATGAGTAAATTTTATACGTATTTCTTCAACTTTAAAAGTGTGCTACAACCGTTTTTTATGAACTTTTCAGCAGCAAACAACACGTTCCTTAGAAACTCACAAAAAAAACAAATCCATGGCAACGTTTGTGTTTGCCATAATTTTACCCGGATGACAGAAGATACTTTGTTATTTTTTGTAAGGATTTCCATTTGCTGATTAGGTGTAGCATATAAAAAATAACCAAGCATATCCTTAATAAAATTTAACTATTAAAGAAACTCGTAATCCCTGTTGTACCACGCATACAATATCATGGGTATTTTTGAATTAATGCGCGACGAAATAAAATTATTGCCATATAAAAATGTAATTGTTAGGCTAGGTTGGAAGGCTACAAATAAAAACAATTAGTTTGTTGCAATTTTGAAATTAATTAACAACATGAAATCATATAAAATGCTTATTGCGCGACAGTTTTTTTTTAGTTTATGGGAAATTAATGTCAACACCGATCACTGTTTGTCACTCAATGTTTCTGATTTGTGATGTGACATTTTCGTAATTGCGTTGATAGTAGTGACAAGTGAAATCGAAGGACTTTTGTGATAAATATTGGAAAAAACTCAAAATGTCCTTTTTTGGGGTAGGAAATCCTTTTGCTACGCCGGTTGGGCAAAAAATAGGTTCGTACAAACCATTATTTTGTTTAATTAATTAGCGTTTCGTAATATTTTCTATTCTTTCCAGTAGGTTTTCTCTTTTGTTGCGCACAATTTCTTCTTATTACGATTTCAATTTCCTATAAGCACTATCGTAAAAGAATAAATGTAATTAAAAACAATACTGGCTGGTTAGTATAATTGAAGAAGTAATTCTTCGTGAAAAAAAAATTGTCATTTGACGCAATGATGCTAATTATTATGACCCTTTGTATTTACCATGAACATTGCGTTACAGAACAAGCAACTGATGGCTCCCTACCGTCAGAAAATTGGGCCCTAAATATGGAAATATGTGATATAGTTAACAGTAGTGCTGATGGACCAAAAGATGCAATTAAAGCCATTAGAAAAAGACTGACCCAAAGTGCTGGAAGAAACTATACTGTGGTCATGTATACTCTGACTGTACTAGAAACTTGTGTGAAAAATTGTGGAAAATCTTTTCATGTTTTAGTATGCAACAAGGAATTTATTTCGGACTTGGTAAGTATTACAAATATAATCTTAAATAGACTTTAATCTTCATAACAAATTGTCTGATATTCTACGTATTTTAGTATGCTTATTATTTTCATTGTTATTTTAAACAATTTCAATTCAATTTCAAATAAACACTTGCTTGTCATACAAAAAAAATGTATATTTTTATGAGGTTTTAACTTAATGTAAACAATTCCTTGGTAGTTGGTTGGTTGAAAAAAATCTGAATAGAGTTATAAATAAAATAGACAGGTGGTGCAGATAGCATTAACAATGTCTTTGCAATACAAAGCTTATCTGATTATGAGTTTCTTCACCTCTGTTCACTACTCTATGGCTGTGATATATAACAATTATCAAGTATAATCTAATCAGTATAGCTTGTCTGTCAGCAAACAATATACTCCTGGTTAAAAATTATACATAACTTCTATACATTATGTATTACTATTTGATGTTATATTGTTTGCTTCTTTATATTAAACAATTTGGTACTTAGCATTTTATATCTTGTGAATAACGGTAGGCAGAGATTGCAAATATGTTAGTAAAATGTAGTTTTTTTACATAATTTGGGAAATTTATATCATAACAAGCTTTAATAAGTATATGTACCTATGTGTTCTTCCAATCTGTATTCTACACCTATGCCAAATTTAAACAAAATCCATTGAACCGTTTCCGAGTTACCTTCTAACAAACATCCATCTAGCTAAACTTTTGGCACTTATAATATTTTTAATTATTAAAATAGAATGTCTGACATTATTGCAATTTATTTAGTTTGTTGAGTATTGTGGTTATCTGCCTACCCCATATAGATTGAGATGACTCATATTATTGTAGGGTTCATCAAATCAATAGTACTTTCATATTTTATAATAGTATCTTATCTTTTTTAATTGAATGATTCATTATATTAACATTGACCTCATAACAGTCTTCTTTATTGCATTAATTATATAATTATTTGAAGGTAAATTTAGAACAAAAAACTCAAACTGTTTTTCTAGATGGAGTGCTATAAAAAAAACAAAATACATTTCTTATTTCAGATAAATTTGTTTATCATCATATAAAAAGATTTTATTATTTAAATTTTAGTTGTAAACAAGTTTTTGATGTTAAATAAAGCTATTATTGTGTAGTAATAGTTGTTTTTGTGGATGTTTTCACGAATACATTTTTCTTTTTAGTAGTGTGTGTTGTGTGAATATGTTTACATGTGTGCATAGAATTCACTGGTACTATGTAACACTAGTACTGATATGTTGTTATCATTGTTTTTCTCAAAGAGATAAAGAAGGATGGCGGATATTTGTACAGGACTTTCGTTGTTAGAAACTGAAAATCGACTCCCATTGGCAATTTACTCACACATACATAAATGTGTATAAAATGCTTTACTACTATAAATATAATATGGTCATATTAAGCATGAGAACTATAAATAAATGTCTATGCAAATTAAAACATTATTTTTGTCTTATAAATATATGTCGAAGGTGATATTAGTCTAGTATTTTTGCAGACGTATCTAAAATCGAACGCAAATGGAGTTAGATTATTTAGCAAATAAGTGACTTAGTAAAATTGTATATTTTAATAATTCTTTAAGTATTTTATATACCTACATAGAAACATTTTTGGGTATGTTATTGTGAATTTTGAAACAAAAGATTTAACCAGATTTATATTATTAAATAAACTCAAATTTACATTTTTGTTATAATTAATTATTTAGTTACCTTTAATAATATGATGTAGTGATTGTTCCTTATGTGCTTTATTTCAGGTAAAACTTATTGGACCTAAAAACGATCCTCCGACGGTAGTGCAAGAAAAGGTATTGAGCCTTATTCAGTGTTGGGCAGATGCTTTCCAGAATCAACCAGAATTACAGGTAAGAGCTTATTTTCACTAAGAGGCTAGCCGCACACAACTAGCCGCTCCTTACGCACTTTTGTGATCGCTTTTATATAACAGCTGAAGTGTAACAATAAGTCAAAGCAACAGCTTTAAGGGGCCTAGCACGAATATTTGAGACAATCGCCATCGTATTGTCATCTACAAAATTTGTATTATGTAGCGCTCTTCAAGCGTAAAGTCCAGAAATAACCTCATAGTAATTTTAAAATAATTGACGATTATGATACGAAAGTCATACGATTGTCGCAAATATTCGTGGTAGGCCCACTGTAAGCTGATTACTCTTTGAATATATTCTTTATAAGATGTCACTGACAAACTTCTTCGTCCAATGACCTTGGAACTTATTACGCAAAATAATATGAATGTAGTTTTAATTCGTAATTTATTTCCTTAAATCAGGTTCTTATCGCATAATACTGGTCTCGGAAATTAAATAACATCTACTTTTATTTTTTTATTGCATACAGAGCTTATAGATTTAGTATTTCAAGAAGATCTTTGTTGTATATGAAGAAAGCATAGTATTTATAGTTCATAGAAACTTTAGTACCCCAAAGATTTTGACAGTCGCAAAAAATAATCCTAATTTAAATTTGTTTAGCTAACCTAGAAAAGTAATGCAAGTTTCAAACAAATACCAATTGAATGATATTATTCAAACCTCAATAACGTATTGTTTTGCGGTACGCATTGTTTATATCGACCTAGTTGCGAAATAATAATATGGCGTCATCTAGTTAGTGTCTTTTTCCACAGAATGGCTAGTTACTTTCGACCAGTGAATTAGTGGAAAATGGGTGTAACTGTCGAACTCAGATTTCTTAAGTGGTTATTAGTAGGGTGTCCCTTTGGGTATATGTAGTACTTTGGGGGAATAAGGTTCAAGTTAATCGTAGCTTTAAAATTAACATTGGGCCTAGCCTAACATGAATATTTGCGACAAGACAAGTATGGTCTTTTTTGGTGTACTTTATATGTTTGCTGTACAAGTTTTTGTACAAATTTTGTCGAAGACGGTATGATTGTGGTTGTTACAATCATTCGTGCTAGGCCCACAGCGTAATATGTAGTAACAACAGTTTTATACATTCTTAACGTTATCTTATCGTATAATCTTTACAAACTATACAAAGTCTAAAGTTCCGATTGATTGTTAAGACTAGTTTTTGCTATCAATCTTTTATATCGGATGTGATTCATGTTGTTTTATTTTAGGATAAAAATTTTACATTTCTCAATAAGTTTTGTTGTTTTTTGACTATGGCCTAATCACTCTTAACTTAGGGTAGGCTCCGAGCCCCTCGGTGGGGACGTATAGTGAGCTGATGATGATGATGAATAAGTTTTGTACAAGAATTTTATATACAAATATCAAAAATGGATTAATCGAAACAACTTCATTTAATATTAAAGCTCAGACAGATTTTACCAAAAAATCTTATCCTCTTAATAAATCTCATGGTTTTTTTTATGATAAAATTAATTATGGATTATAAAATCCTATAATAATTATTTGTTATGAACTAAAGTTATGACAAATATATTGATTATTCTTCCGCGATTATTTCCAGGGTGTTGGACAAATTTACAATGAACTCCGCTCCAAAGGTGTGGAGTTCCCGATGACAGATCTGGATGCGATGGCACCTATTTTCACGCCACAAAGGGTTTGTATATTTGAATAAAAATTTCATATTAATATAACTAAGGTTGAATATTGCTTAGCAAACTGTATGTTACGTTACGAATAATTTTATAGCATTTTTCATTATGAATGTTAAATTAAATTTTAACGAAACGTAATGGGTTGGAAATTAAAATCCTTGACTTCGTCGTCGTGGACTTTACCGAAAATTTTTTTGCACATTTTTGTCATTATTATAAATTGAAAACCTTTGTCTTGTATCTACTGTCTATAGATTTTATAAAAATTAGTTTCTTTGTTATAATTACCAGAGTGTTCCTGACGGCGCAGAACAACCAGTGGGGTCTCCACAGCGCACCGCCACGTTGCCGCACTCGCCCACCAGACAGCTGCAAGAAAACAATATGGCCACGGTAAATTCGCATTTATTAACACATTTACATAGAAAATATTCCATAAAAGGCTTTGAAAATCTCATAAATTTACATATTTGATAAAAAAAATCTACATCGTATTGAGACAAATATTTTTTCCAGAAGTCAACAGAACGTTTTCTCCCCTTGCTACTATTTTAACATGTTTACGGTTGGTTTCTGACACCAAAATCTGTGTGTGAAATATATATTCATCCAAAGATAACACATCTCCATATAAAAACATATTGTTATCTCGTTATTTCGGTCTCAGAAACTCACTGTTATTGTCACAACATACGTAGTAAATTTACTACAGGTGACATTGTCGGAGAGTGACACCATAACATATGACTCCAGGTGACATTGTCTGAGAGTCAGATGAGCAAGCTGCGCGGGGACCTGTCGGTGGTGGAGGGCAACCTGACAGTGATGGGCGACATGCTGAACGAGCTGACCGCGCAGCCGCCCCACCAGCAACACGACAGCGATGTTGAATTGCTTAACGTCAGTATACATATAACACTCGCTCATTGCTTTTATTTACACACATCTGTTCATGTATATAAAAATATAATTCTCTATTATTAGTTCCAATTCTTAACACCGTTAACAACCGCAACTATCAGCGCCAAAATGGTGATAATCAAATGAGCACAAACTACTATGATGTATAGCAGTCCTTCCCAAAGTGGGCGATAACGCCCCATTGTGGGCGCTGCAGGTCTTAAGGAGGGCGGTAAGAGACTTAGAAAGAAAATGGGGGCGCTGTGTAGAGGCCTGGGGAGCCTTTCTCGAGTTTTAGCGAGACTAACGAACAGCAGATGATTTTTATATATATATGCTCGTGTTTGACGAATAGGCAACTGGTGTACCTTTGTAATGAATAAAAAAAATAGCCGTGATATAGTTGTGTGGGCTTGCTATAACAGTTGTGTTGCAGGAGCTGGCGGAGACGATGCGCGCGATGCAGCAGCGGCTGGTGGAGCTGGTGGCGCGCCTCGCCGGGGAGAGCCCTCTCACCGCTGACCTGCTGCTCGCCAACGACCGCCTCAACAACCTGCTGCTGCGCCACTCCCGCTTCATCAACAACAGGTCTGCTTCATCATCACCACCTTCCGAGACCTGCTCTCTTTGCAGACGTTGTTCTTTCACTTCATCAATAATAAGTCTGCTTATTATATTATATATATTATATTATTCATTCGTCTGCTGATACACCTACTCTTCTAGCCGAAATCGACATAACCACGAGGCACGTAACTCGGTCTCAAAAACCATTTCCACTTTGTACTTATAAAAACAACACTTCCTATTACAACCCTATTGTTAGAATGAGACGTCTATATAATAGTACATCGAACGATCTAGACATCTTCAATCCTAAATATGCGGTCTTCAGAAATTCTGTCTCAAAAATACCTTTTTAAATTTCCTCATCCCTTCATTTTCGTGTTTTTTATTAACCCCCATAATTGTAACAGTTTAAATTTAAGTATACATAATTAATTTTTAAGTGTTTAATCTGCTCTTTTCGTTCTTTTTACATTTGTATAATCATGTTGTGTACATTTACTTTGGCTTATAACCTAGATCCTTAATATTACTTCATGTATTTTTGAATATGTAAACGGTGTTAAGCTGTTTTGTGTACCAATTAAAATAAAAAAAATATCATGACTACGGCCTTCACATACGGGTCTCCTAGACATTGTTTACTAGCCCTAATACGTAACTAAAATTACCCAGCTTATGTTATAAAATCTGACTGCAATATTTGTTTGTTTTTTTTTTAATGTAATATAAAAAAATGTTAACAGAAACGCGGCCAAGGGAGGTGCAACACCGTCCGCCATTTTGGGCGCGGCCATGGGGGTACCTGCTTCTGATGCACGTAAGTCTTTGAATTTTCTTTGTGTTTTACATCTAAAAAACTATTTGAAACTTTTATATGGAAAGTTTAATATGCTTTAATTAAATTTCAGCAAAGACAGGAGATGATGACGCGCTTATTGACCTAAGCGATGACGTGCCCGATGTTAGCAAACTGAGTGAGTCTTGCTTTTATAATATTCCAGTTTTTATTTCACATTTGTTCTATGAAAAAGAACTATGCTATATTAAAAATATATACTTTTATTTTCACTTAAAAAAAAATATAGACTAGCAGTCGCCTGCGTTTGCGTTCGTGCAGAATTAAAAAATATTGTGCCTTTGTGGTGCTTGTGGTCTTCCACACTTTGTTTTACACCCATGTCAAATTTCAATAAGATCAGTTAAGGCATTCTGTAGATATGTTCCAACAGACATTCTGTTTGGATTTAAAAATAAAACTTCTTCTTATTTCTTACTTGCGTGTAATTAACAATTTCTTTTAACAACGTTAAGTGCTAACAACATCGGTTAAGTGAATAATTAAAAAACAGTAGTGGCGCACCGTAGTGGTGTCAAATGAACAATGTCATCGCGCGCCGGCCAATAGGGTTTCCGAATAATGTTAATGAAGTTATATGCAAGTGATGCGTAGACACATTCCAACATCTATTTTAGCTAGATTTTGTATAAAGTAGATATATATTGTGAGGTGATATTTGTCAGGTGTGAAGGAGATGTCAGCGGAGAAGTCGCCCGCCAGCTCCAAGGACGAGTTCGATATGTTCGCTCAGTCGCGCAATGTTACATACGAGAATACTAAAACTGGGTAACTACGTACTATCAATATGCACGTTATAACGTACACACAATTATTCCAATATTTAGTTCTAAAGTCATAGCTACATCAACTTAAATTGATTTTTTTTTATATCATAAGGTGGCAAACGAGCGAGCGGCCACCTGAAATCGCTGAAATAGCGAAGTGACCGTTGCCCATAGACATACGCAATTGCATATGCGTTGCCTAACTTTAATCGACGGAGGAGAGGATGCACAGAAAGAAAATATTTTCTCTTTCCATGCATCCTCTCATCCGGAAAGTCCACTTCCACTTCCCATCCTTTCCTTATAAGAAAAAGGCTGGGAAGGGAAAGAGGACTAATTTTGACCTCCGGGACGCATGGACGATGATATCTTGTAAATCAGGTCACGGATCAACTGTGTGAAGATCTGTGTACTGGTCTCCAACTCAGCTATATATTTCCTTGTCCTATGACTCCCCTGCTCCATCATATCAACTTGCCATTATAATCTTTTCCTTATAAGAAAAGAACGGGAAGGGAAGATTCAATTTGCACGCTCAGTCATCAGTCTACGTGGAGTTACTTCCACTTGACGTCCGTCTTCTGGATGGTTATTGCAGCAAGCGAGCCGACCCATTCGTGCAACGGGTGTTACTTTGTCATGTTATTTTTGTAAAACATATAAAAAATGGCAAAAGGGCTTATTCGATACAAGTTTATAATAACATAATGTATGTACAGAGGCAGCAGTTACGCGGACAATGTGGAGCAGCAGGCGAGCGGCCTCGCCTCCGCCGCCACGCAGCGCGCCGCCCACACCGCCCTCACCAACAACACCACCAACACCACCCTCGTAAATATATCTCTTTACTTGCTCTTATATACACTTATATAACACTTTTTAAATTGTCACTACATACTGACAAACTTATTAAGTATATAATATTTTTGTTTTGTTTTTCTTTGGTCCTGTTATTTTTCCCCGTCTTTAGTTATAATAGCGTTTATAATTAACAGCCCTCAGGGATGGATCAGCGAGAGATCGATGAGATATCCGCCTGGCTCGCGCAGGAGAAGGTCTGTTTTATTTTGTTTTATTTATCCTATTTTATTTGCACCCCATTTATTTTAAATGCTTATATAGATATATATTGTATTATACATCAATATATAATTTTTAACATACACAAGAGATATATTTTATTTTATAAAAATTTATAAAATCTGTGATCACTACATATTTTATGACGATAAACCGCACTATTAACTTCGCAACTTTTATATTGTTGAACAAAACCATAGGAAAATCATGTAGACTGATCTACTTCTGTGTTATTAACACGCTTGTATTATTACGAACGCTAAATTCCATTTTTTTTTTCAAATCTCATTAAAATAAAATATGTACAGACACATTTTCATCAAAATTGATAACAACGCCATCTAGTTGAAAATACAAAACATATCGACTAACCTTTTTTTTTACCAGGCGGCTTCCGAAGCCAACGGTGGTCAGGAGAGTGTGACCAGCAGTGACTTCGACAAGTTCCTGGCGGAGCGCGCGGCCGCCGCCGACAGCCTGCCCAGCATCGACCCCCAGGACCCCCCGCACCCACCACAACAGACCCCCCGCCACAGGCAGATCAACAAGGAACAGGAGGACACCATGTTCGCGCTCTGATCTGCTTCTTGATACCTTTACCGCTTTCTATGGTAAATATCGTTTGTTCTTGTTCATTGCTTTTGCTGATATTAAAAAGATGATAATATAAGCAATCGTCTAGATGCCACACATTCGTGTCGCGGACCCGCAGTTACCTCGTGTGACATCACTCTTATATTCGATTTCTCAATTTACGGTTATTTGGTAATTACCAGTAAATATTCTATACTATTGCCAATACTGATAAAAACAAAAGTCAATTTAAAAAAAATATTGGTCGACATCCAAATTGCATTGTAAAATCTTTAAATTCTTCAAACAATCCCACTAATGTAGACATGTAGCATTCGTGAAATTATTGTTTTTCTGGTATATATCTATCTCTCTCTCTCTCCTATCTAATGTATTATCTTTCTCTTTCCCACTCGCATTGGTCTATTGTATTGTGTTTTTACGCAGTTTTTAGGTTAAGTGACGTCATCGTGCATCTTGTTTATATAAAAACGTATTTAATATTTTCCAAGCAGATCATCTGGACCTTGTTTATAATATTAATAAAAAAGTGTTTTTTGTGACTGATTCTTTTTTTGATATATTAAATTATTGGTTGTTATTTTTTTTTATAATTTTTTTTCTATTTATTTTCCGATAGACTTTCAATTATGTATTTGCATTAATTTGCAAATGAAATTGACTAACATGTTTTAATACTTGTAATGAATTTGAAATTTAAAAAAAAAACTGGAAATATCTTAAATCAACTCAATCCGGGATCCAGTTTATCTTTTACCTTGTATATTTAGTAATTTTAAATTTGATTTAAACAACAATTCAAGATAAATATATAATTTTTTAATTTCTTATAATTGTTCAATTTAATTTTAATTTGTCACATGAAAATATTAACAAAAAGAGAAATAATTCATAGTAATAATTTTTTATTTACTGTACTTCGTAAACGGAAAATTATGTCACTAAGAATATAATTTTATATATCTTGCCTTTATTATATAACTGCATCATTACTGTATTAACACTTTTTTTTTAATTTGAAACACGGTAACTTTTTACTTGTTATTATATTATAACAAATTGGAGAGGCAGATGCCACTATTTAATGTACATAATATGTACATATATTTATTATACATTTTGATGAATTGCTATGAATTTGGTGCGTAAAATCATACAATTATTTTGTTTGCAATCAGAAATCCGTTTATATGTATAACGTGTGGGTTGCCATTGCATAAAATCCAACAAAAATCATGTCATCTCTCTTTATCATTCTGATAAAATTTGACATAATTTTGTATAGATTTTCCATCAGTGGAAACGCACGTTAATGATTATTTCGAAGCAAAATATTGTTTTAAAATAAAACTTAGGTTAAGTTAAAATGTTATACATACATGTAGACTTGCAGCAAATTGGGGGAGCATTTAATACATAATGTAATTTAAAATTACTATTTTCTAGTATTCGAGTGTAGATTGTGATAATGCATTGTTTTCATTACTTTATACCACTGACCTCTATAAATGGATAGGTCGTTACTTAGAAATGACAGCTTTTGCATCGTTTCGAATTGCACCAGTTGAAGTTCCTGACAGTTAATTCTATATCTAATGTTAGTTCGTATTCTCACCACTGTTAACCGCAACCGTCAGCGCCAAAATGGCGAACATCAAATAGGCACAAAATAGTATGGTGTATATCCTATCCATATATAGTGGTCAGCCTATGCGATGTATGTATATTGTTAAAAAAATGAATTCTGCAATTTTATAACAAGACCTTATATCCATTTATTTGGTAAAAAGTAAAATTTACATTAAAATGTTTGTAATAATATATTTTATTGACATAATCGATTAAAACTATCTCGTAAATAAAATAAAAATCTTTTTAACCGAATTATTAAAGGATATAAGATCTTGTATAACATATATGTTACCTTATAGGTCTACCAAAGTCAACAACTCACCTTAAAACAAAAAAAAATAATATCCAGTTCTCACTACTTAATGGATTTTTTTTTATCTGACTCGTTTATAACTTGCTTACTCATAACGTAAGCGTTAGCACTTCACTAATTTGTATTAATATATAATCGAACCAGGATAACTCGGAGTCAAATTTTTGTCACTTTTATAAGCGTAATGAGGATTCTGCAGTTTCTCGCTTATGGAAGAAGTCCAATGTATTCGAACAATGATTCTCTTATCCGGGTTCTTCCATATTGACATCCCTGTATATTATTTTTGATGTAATCAGTGGAATACTACTGTAAGTCAACTTATTCATTCCACTTTCGTCTCGATGTTTGTATTTCGGTGTTGATGTGATAATTTAAAAGAACAAGCTTAATGTTAATTATTTAAAAGAGTTATTTTATGTTTTAATCGTTGTATTTAAGATAATTAATAAAATCATTTAACTGATGGTGAAGTTTTATTTATAAGTAAAATTATATAAAAGAATTGTTGTAATTCTGAATTGTCACTCCTAAAACATGTACAAAAACATGTTTCGGCAATATCTCCGTCCGACAGTCGAAAATAAAATAATTTATAGTTTTTATAACTTTATTTATCAATTTCTGTATCCACAATAGATACATGCAACATTATTTAGGTAATTTCCAACAAATTCCTATTTACAATTACAAAACTGGATTCATATAAACTGATTTTAGAATTACACGCGAGCGGAACTGCAAAATGTATTTAAAACTTAAAAGCACCTTTCTAAAATTATGCAAATTTAACGAATCAATAAAAAAAAACTTACAAAAGAAATAATTCGAATTGTTGCATTTACGTCTCTTAAAATATTTCATGTCATAAATCAATTAAAAAAATAACTGATTGTTGTTCAAATATCTCGCCCCATCATGATACAGAAATTATAAATACACATACATTAAGTTTAAAATGTTCTCTGTGAAATAAATTATTAAATTTCAAATAAATTATTCCCCATACAGATGCAATCAGAGTATTACGATAAATATCAATAAAGAGAACATGGAATTAGTTTCTTTTAGTATTAAACATTACAAAACATAGAAAAAGAACTTCATTAGATAAAGATTTTTGCTCATAATAAATTTCTTGTGCGCGATGCGCTAACAAAAAACAACCTAAATGTAAATTTCCACTGTCGAAACTAAACATACAACTATGACATGTCTACGCATGTTTTTCGACAGTGAAAACCAACGGTGAACACAAACAACGTATAGTAAAGGGCCTGGCAGACGAAATGCGATTCTAAATGTAATATTAAGTGTAAAATATAATTATAATCTATACAAAGTACGCTATGGAAGTCTTGAGTGTGGCCGCGCCTTTACAGCTCGTCCCTCGACGGCGCCTCGTTGTCTTCATCATCTTCGCTCTGAAATAAAAGTAAAATTAAATATTAATGCTGGAATATAATTTAGGAGAACAGAATTTATTAATTCTTTGTGTAATGGCTTCTTTTTAATTTTATGGTGAGATTACGACATTTAAATTTGTCAGACTTTCTACCTCTTTATAATTTTGTTTCATGAGTTTTTGTTATACATATAATATTTAAAACAATATGGTTCTTCCAAAGAAACTTTTAACTGTAATAAAGACGAATTCTGTACATGTTACAAAAGTTTACATACAACTGAGGGCGTGGGCTCCGCGCCTTCACCGTTAGTCTCCACAAACTTGGTGAGTCCGGCCAACGTGCGCTCGCCGTTGTACTCGCGCACCTGCACACCAATAATACATTCATTTATATTTCATATTATAAAATATCAATTTTACATAACAACCAAATACAAGTATCAAGAATGTTGCGTCAATGACTTTAAAGTTAAAAAATCGCTTGAATAGTGTAAATATTATTTTTAAAACTCTGGAAATTAAAATTAATAAATTAGCTTAACATTAATGCAAGAATTTATGCAGATTATTTGTTACGAAATATAGGCATTTTTAAGATGAATGTTGTTGGTGTACCTGGTTGTCCTTGGTGTACAGTTTGATGGTTGGGAAGGAGGTGATCTTGGTGTGCTCCAGCTCGTTAGCAGTGGCGTCCATCTTGGCGATGACGACATCATCGTCTGCGGCGAAGTGCTCGCCCAGCTTGTCGTAGATCGGCACCAGCTGCTTGCAATGACCGCACCTACACAACGACACAAAAATTATCATCATCATCAGCTCACTATACATCCCCACCGAGGGGCTCGGAGCCTACCCTAAGTAAGGGTGATTAGGCCATAATCAACCACGCTGTCCCAGTGCAGGTTGGTTTACTTCACACATATCTTGGAATTTCTTCTCAGATATGTGCAGGTTGCATCACAATGTTTTCCTTCACCGTAAGTACGTCGGATAAATGTACATATGTAAATTGAAAATCAAAAAACACATTGGTGCATGGCGGGATTCGAACGCAGGACCTGCAGATTGCAAGTCAAGAGCTTGACCACTGAGCCACTGACGTTCCACAAAAAAAAATTATAAAAAGCCGAAAATCATATCCTACAATTCCGCTATTTGCACATTTTTATTGTTTCTAGTATTAATTATTGGATAAAATATTCATAATAATAGGTTATTTTACATTTCAGTTGCTTAGCTATTAGTTACTTAAACAGTATTGCATCACATTTTGAAAACAAATATCATTAAAAATACTAAGCAAACTTGCTCTAAAACCGACAAATATACAAAAACAAAAAAAAACTGTACAAATATAACTGAAACAAGACTCCATTTAATTCTCAAGGTGAAACGGCATGTATTTGAGAAGCAAACATTATAATTCCAGCAACATATAACATAAAACAATGCTAAGGTCTGACATAATTAATGATAATTTGTGCGTTTCCAAACCATCGAGCAGACAATGCCCGTCTCCGGCTCACTGAATATGTCTTAACGATTCAACACAACTGAATAAATAATTCAATATGTCTACTACTGACGCAATTTATAAACAAATTGATTCATATTTCAGTAAAAAAACATATCAGTTAAAACACATTGGTTACTAGCTGTCGCCCGTGACTCCTCCTTATATATCCTACTCCTCCAATAGCCTATGTTTTCTTCCAGAATATGTTTTAAAATATGCCAAATTCCATCGAGATCCATTCAGCCGTTCTGGAGATAACTTCAATGAAAACACCAAATCCATCCATCCATCCATATAAACGTTTGGATTTATAATGTTAGTAGGACTAACAATATAGATAATAAATATTTACGGTATTTTCTTCTTACTTATTATGTATATTGTTTCTTTGATAGTAGTAAAAATAATCTTACCATGGCGCGTAGAACTCAACGAGGACCTTCTTGTTGGTGTCAAAGACGACCTCATCAAAGTTGGTGGCCACCAGCACCTTGACGGGCTTGGCTGCCCAGTCCTCGGGCAGATCCTCACTGAGCAGGTGCTGCTTCAGGGTACCAGCGAAGAATGATTGGATGAATTCCTGGTAAACAAATAGAAAAATAAGATTATAGCTCATATGAAGAATTATTTTAAATACGCTTATGTATTAAAATTCGTGGGCTTATTTTGTATTTATTTTTTTAAATTTTCTCGAGAACGTAACCGCTAAAATCGATATTATCTTGAAATCAATTCGAAAATTATTTTAGTAATTGGTATGAAACGGATAAAAATTACCCGATCGTCCTCCAATCGATAGATCGTATCTTCGATTGCTATTGCGATCCTTAGATCGGTTGATACCAAATGATAAGCAAACATTCGAAATCGATTGAAATCGTTTTTTTAGAGACTATTAAGGAGGACAAATCAAATTTTTGACAACACTGCAATTATATTGTTTTTTCCAATCTTGAAATTAACAATCCAGTTATTTCGCAGAAAATATTATCAGCATGTCGAATTGTGCGTAAAGTACACAAACTTATAAGTGACGTGTCCAATCGGATGTTTGTAGATTGAATTCAAAGCGTTAAGTTTTAACACGTAGATTGTTAAACGCGTAACATTTGTGCAAATAAGTAAATTTATTTTTTTACTAAGGCAAACGAGCATTCGCCAAAATAGTGAAGCGACCGCTGTCCATAAATGTTACGTTGTACATACGCAAATGTGTTGCCTAACATAATGACCGAAACCACCCTTAATTTTATATACAGTATTTTTAATTCTATATCATTCTATAATCAATTCTCGTAAATCCTACAGAGTTTGTAAAATAATTAGCAAAATAAACATATTGTTTCAAATACACCAGAAATAATTGATTATTAATAACTTTGATATTATCAAATAAATTAATTTTGAAAATAAATAATTCAATTATGTAGTTAAAAATTAAGTGATTATTATTTCTAAATATACAACTATTATTAGTAATTTAATAATTTTAATTTTAGTATTTACCTCAATAGTGTTGGCAGTAAGCTCGGAGCTGGCAGGTTTGTACTTGGCCATGTCCTGTTCCAGAGCAATGAGACGGGCTGAAGGAACCTCATCCTTCTTCATGCCAAAGAACTCCAGAATCCTAAGGAAAGATACATATATTAAAAGATATTTCCTATCTATTATATTAAACTAGCTGTCGCCCGCCACTCCGTCCGCGCGGAATTAAAAAAACTAGACTAATATATGTGTTCTTCCAGACTATATTGTACATCTGCCAAATTTCAGGGAGATCCATGAAGCTGTTCGGGAGGTACTTTCTAACAAACATCCATCCATCCAAACATTCGCATTTTAGTATTTATAAGATGTATAATGCAAAGATCTAAGATATTTTTAGACTAGTTCTACAGAAAATAAATTCTTAAAACAATAATTTTAAGTTTGTACTTAAGAATATATGTAATTAAGTGGATAAATATAAGTGTACTTGAGAAATCAATTGAAACTTTACTTCCCACTTCAAGTGAAGGTTCATACAAAATTTACTTTCTATATATATTAAATAAATTTAAATGCAGATAAAGATACTTTATATAACATTACAAAAGCACTCAATAATAATTATTGAATTAATATTCTTATTTTTCTTCCTTCCTTCTCACCGTTGGTTTCTGAGACCAAAATATATGTATAAAACATATCATCATCCCTGTCATATTTAGGAAAACATAACAATATGTTTCAAACTGACATTTAGTCATTGGAACCCACAATTAGTGATATAAGAAATCTGCACTGAGGGACAAGTAAACTCCACATTAAATAACTCTGAGTATGGTTACTGTCATAAATACATTACCTCTGGTGGTCATCTTCATCAGTATCAATAGCGACGGCCATGATCTTGTCGCGGTAGTTCTTAGCGACAGGTTTCAAATCATCAAGGTACTTTTCGAAATCACCATTTTTCTACAACAAATAAATGATTATATTTTCAATTCTAACATATAAGGCATAAGGTTGAAATTCTATCGTCGTATACTTCGCTCAAAGTTCATCGACGATACGTGACTAGAGGTCAATGTATCTAGTAGGTCATTCACCTCATTAGAACTTATGTGAGATACATTTTAATAGAAAATATGGACGTCATAGATAGTTGTTTGACTTCCTTCAAGTTTTAATTTAATTTTTATTACTTATTTATAAAAGAAAATATTAGTAATTCTATTATTTTATTTTAGAAATAATAAATAAATTAATTAAAATAATAAAGACTATAAAATTGCATGCATACAATTTAAAATAACAGTAAATGTATGCACATATAATACATATGTTTCTTTTTACTTATAACATTTAATCTATTGGTAAAAGTTGTTAATCAACTTTCACATTCAGACTTGCAAAGATCATGTGACCTCTATATGTGGTGCATTAAGAAAACTTTCACTATATCATCTACATAGTAACAAAATATATGTCATTATTATGTACATCTCAAAGTAAAAAAATTTTAGCAAATTTTTTTGTAAATTTACTAATATTTCTTTTACCATTCCAACTAAGCTCAAGGCTTGTCCTAGGATATGGTTTACAATAGTCGAATGGCGTGATTCGAACCCCCGACCTCGTGATCGGAAATCCCTACCCTTAACCATTAGGCTATTGACGCTTTTAATCTAATCTTTTGTGTAAATTTTCAATATTGCTACTTTACAAGCTTGGAGCATCAAATTTGCTATTATATATAAATCTCATTGTATATTTTGAATATTTAAAACATATCTTTGCAATGTCTGTATATTATTCAGTTTCACATAAATTAATACTAACCATGGGTTTCCGAGCCTTAAATCTCCTCTTAAAACATCATTATCTCTGTTTTGTAAAAGACAATGACATTGATGATAAATATGTTTTAAAGAGAAATTTTGGTCTCGGAAACCAACTGTAAGTTAAAAAAGTTTATCTTTTATTAGACTTAAATTATTATAGATTAACTAAATAGGTTATAGGGAACTTACCTTGGACAGGAAGAGAAGCAGGTGGTATTTGATCTGTCCACCGAAGATCTTGGATGCGGTTTCATGTGAGAACTCAACAATAGTGGGCATACTTTGCACAAACACCCATGTCTTGAGCAGATCTTCATCAAGCTCTTTAGCGTCATACTTGACACGTGGCTCTTCAAACTGATAAAAAAATATTTACTTACAAATGTTATATAAAACAAAACTGTGCTTTTTTATTAACTTTGTTGCATTGATAATGTTGGTAAAAATAGGTCAAGTCTTATCATTAACCCTAGATAAGAAACTAATATACCAATTGTTATATACAAATTTACTTAGTAACATTATTAACTTTCCATTTGTTGATTTTAATTATTTTATCTCTAAAATACTATCTACATATAGTGATATTATCATTATATATTTTAACATTATAATAATATGGATATTACTAATTTTAAATGAACAAATTTTGTTGCAGTCTCAGGAACCTGTTATCTCTGTTATTACCATGGGGGGACTATTATTATTATTTCTGGCTGACAACAGATTTCATCATATTATTTAAATATCACATCTACATTATGATAACATTTACATACATTAATATATAATGTAATTTCTTATATCTTTGTTTTTAGTGATATTTATATTGACTGCACTAATATACCTAACAAATAAAACACTTAAAAAATAAGAAACATAGTCCATTTTAACATAGCAACAAAATTGTATCCTAGAAAAACATACTATATTTTAAATTGCTATTTAGAATAATTTAAGAGACATTTTAAATAATTTTATCTCCTTAATTTGAACATACAAAACTCTGAATACTAAAATAGACTTACGTTTTTGAACAGGACGACATCGCCAGCTTCAGCTTCCAACTCTTCAATGAGTTTCTCATCACTGACAAGTGCAAACACTTGGTCATCTACCAAGCCAGCAACATTGAGGAAAGCCTTTGCCTTCTCAGTGGCCTGGTCGGGGAAGAAACCAAATGTGATCACATTGTTGGCAGCAATCAGTTCCTTGGCCTGTTCTGCAGATGTAACTTCAACAGCTGGAGGACCAGTCTTCTTTTTCAGCCATGCGACAATATCATCAGCTTGTCTGCCACCTGTTATAAGAATAACCAACTAAGAAAAATGTATATGGTATAAACTTAACCTTTTTAGTTTAGAGTATGTTAAAATTAACTAGTCAATCTAATAAATTAAGGTGACTCATAATGATTGTATGGAGTCATATATTCAAAGTTTTGATAAGATTTGTTGCAAGAATAATGTATAAATAGCTTATGAAATGCATGAAAAGTTTATAAAACATAGTTAAGAAAATTAATTCCATCATTGATTAGAAAGCAATAACATTTTTACGTAGCATTAAATTATCATTTTAATAACATTACCCGTGTAATCGATGGGGTTGCCGTTCTTGAAGAATTTCAGCGTGGGATATCCTCTTACACCGAAACTTTCTGCGAGATCCTGCTCTTGCGTGGCGTCAACCTTGGCAAGTTTGATGGGAGATTCTTCCTCACTCAACTTTGTAGCGGCCTTGGCATATTCGGGCGCAAGCGATTTGCAATGCCCGCACCACGGCGCATCTGTAATGTAAATATATGAACAATCTGTACAAAGACCTACCGGCGTTTAGTAATTTAAAAAATGTTAACTACTTTAAGAGTTTAACTTTTTAATTCTTGTTAACAGTTAGGCAAGAAAAGAAATTACAAACTTACAGAATTCAACCAAAATGAAGTCAGTGGTAGAAATAACATTTTCAAAGTTGGCTTTGCTGAGTACTAGCACATTATCTTCTGTGGGAATTTCATCGGCAAACGCGGCACCCAAAAGGGCTATCGCTACTGCAAATAACGTAACTCGCATCTTAAATTTGCGAATGCCTGATCACAACTACAGTTTAAATTCGGCCGACGATGCTGAATAAAACGCCGAAAATGCCACTTCATTCACACTCACACCGTCGCATTTGACGTGGCAGCGTCGATCGTGTGTTGGGCTGTGATTGGCCAGCATTGACACTGTTTTTTTTATATCATCAACGAGATAACTTTTTAAAGGAAAAATAAAAATACAATTTTACCAAGGTGTTAAATACAAATGAGTTAGGTATATTACAACGGTTTTAGTATAAGAAATAAAAATTTCGCTTTCCGGCTGAAATATTTTTTTGCTGATTCAGGGACCTAATTCAGCTTCGGCATTATTGTCAATGAATACATTTTACATTTATCTTAAAACAAGTCTGGTATTTATATAAATAATATTGCGTATTCGAGTAACATTTGTTTAAATTTTGAAACTTAAAAATAATACGAAACATAAAAAAAATAACTCTAAATAACTTATCATACTACAAACGTGTAGTTGCAATTTGTATCAATTTTAAGTTGTATTGCGAAGAATCAAGATAATATTATTTATTTCATATACAATTATTACTCCAAAGGACCAATTTTGTGACCAATAATAGCCAAAAAAAATTATTACAATAAACTAATAAAAGGATGAAGCTGGATAAAACAGTTTATTTAATTTGTGCAGTGTTTATAGTGGCAACTTTTTCTTTGGCATTGACATTCGACGTTCGCGCGCATTTTGTAAAACCATGTTTTGTAAACATGATTATGTGTTTATCGTGGTGATTAAGATTAAATCGTTAAGTTATCTGATTACCTAACAATACATAAAACGATTGTAAAGTTTGTTTGGCATAACATATCTACGAAGCTAAAACCACACAAATTTAATAACATTTCTATAGCTGTTCCGTCAAAATATGAGTTATGAGTTGAGTATGACAGACGACTGTATTGTCAAAATCATTACATCAAAGTTTGAAAATTGAAAATAAATAATTGATTGTAAATATTCTAGTCGTTTAAAAGAAAATCAAATGATAATACACAATGTAGAACAGTAGCATTTGTAAATGACTTTAATTAATATGAGACATCTAAGTTGGAAATGGAAACAGAATCAGAGGTAAAATGTAATAAATGTTAAGAACTACTTACATGAATTCAATATTAATTGTGACACTGTTTAACGCATTTAAGCTAAATTTATTTAGCAATATAAAATATCTCTTTTTTTGAAATATTACGCTGATGTCGCATCTTAATAATGTGTGAAAACAGACAACTATTTCTTTTCACCTGTAAATAATTTGTGTGCGAATCTATTCTACAAGTGACGTTTGAATTGGTAAATTAATGGATATTGGCCTTCGCAAGATGTATGTTCAGTGAATTTATTTTAGAATTTTAAAATTGGCTAACATCCAAATTTTGTACACTTGGACTATCCTAGATAGTTCATCACAGTCATAGATGATAATCACATGTCACGGTAAAAGTTTAATTTTAATTAAAACTTGTGAATTAAATAGAAAAAAACTTTTTTTTACTAAATAATAGTTTTACTAATTATTAAAGTGGTTTTAGAAATTAATTACTTTTTTAATTTTACAGATGCCGGAGATGACAGTAACTTCTGAAATATACCAGGAATATGATTATAAAACGAAATTAAAGCCAAGCCAAGAAGGAAGTAAGTAGTGTATTTTTAATTTTCTAAAACATTTAATTACTTTGTAAAATAATATAATTGACTTGATTGGAATCTAACTGTACTATAAATAGAACACTAGGGGATAGTACAATTTAACTACAGTGGAAATGTGTATTTATAATTATATTCAACTTAACAGGATATTATATATTATATAGAAATAGTAAAATTATTCTAATTATTAAAATTTACTCTACTTTTGCATTTTCAGATGTTATATCGGAGTTTCCATTCCTGCTGCCTTTGAGTCAAAATAGCTGTACATTTGATGATGATGATGATTTAGATATTGAAAGACCTTCTAAAGCTTGTGTTAAGATAGGTAAGTTTTCTTCAAAGATAATATACAATTTTTTACATGTATGGATATGTACCATCAAGGAATCTGGTGGTATTCCATGTTACAAATGGCAATATTGTCATCCCTTATATTCTATTTGACAAAACAGAGAAAACAATAGTGTTAACACAAGTGTCACAATGTTCAATCTATGGTTACGTAGAGCAATTTTTTTTATTTTAAGTCTGTGTTTATTATTTTATCATGTTCTGTAAAAGAGATTGAAACATCCTCCAGTCTCTCCAGTCCTCTTTCCCTTCCCATCCTTTTCTTTATAAGGAAAGGATGGGAAGTGGAAGTGGACTTTACGGATGAGAGGATGCATGGAAAGGGAAGATATTTTCTTTCTGTGCATCCTCTCCTCCGTCGATTAAAGGTAGGCAGCGCATATGCAATTGCATATGTCTATGGGCAGCAGTCACTTCGCTATTTCAGCGCTTTCAGGTGGCTGCTCGCTCGTTTGCCACCTTTTGATATAAAAAAAAAAATAGTTTTTCATTAATCTCTTGTTTGTTTTAGAACACAGTTCAAAGACTAAAATAGCTTTAGTGGGTCTGCAAGTATGGAGAGGAGCATTCCTTTTAGGTGATTTATTGATACATTTGGGACTGAATGGGAAGTTGAACGGTAAAACTGTACTGGAATTAGGAGCTGGCACTGGATTTACGAGTTTTGTTGCTGCTTTGTACGCAAAGAAAGTTATATGCACAGGTATATATTATTTATGTATTAATTTAATTCCATCATATTGATTTTATCATAATAAGGAAATTGTGTTAACAACTCTGAAATGCCGCGTAGATGAAGCTACGAGCCAAAACTAGTCAAATTTAAAAAAAAAAATGATGTTTAATTATAGTCAAAATTCTAACAATAGGCAACCTAGTTCTTAAGAAATCATAATTTCAAGGGATTTCTTAAAGTTTTTTTTTTATTTCAGATATAGATTTGGGTGGAATATTGGAGTTAATTAAATTGAATGCTAAATATAACAGTGAGTTAATTAAATCTCAATTTAAAGTGATGCCGCTCGACTTCAAGGAAATTGAATGGAGTAGACAATTGATACAGGAAATTCAAAAAGTTGATATCGTAGTTGCAGCTGATGGTAAGATATCATTATATTTGAACTACAGGTTTAGATTTAAGATTCAAATAATGTACTTAGGCCTATGTAAAGATATCTAATGTCGAGGAAATTCTATGTTCCTTCCTTCTTTTTATATCTTGTGTGATTTGGTTTTCTTTTTGCAACAGTTTACTACAGATTTTAGCAAACTGGCTCATTTATTGCCTATTTGGGACTTTCCAATGTTTAAATTGATGATGGCATCTGTTTTCAGTAATTTATCCCAAACTTAAAAGAACAGTTGTTTATTTCGGTTGATTATACGTGAAATTTAGCAAAGAAGAGCACAGTTTGGAAAGATACATGGGCTACTAAATTTTTTTAAATCAGCGCGCACAAAGTCGCGGGCGACAGCTAGTTCGCGGCTGTTTATTACAGATTTAATATTTTTCAGTGATCTACGATGATGACGTCACAGCGGCGTTTATATCAACAGCGCAAAGAATTATGAATACAAATCCACCCAAAGTATTATACATTGTAATGGAGAAGAGATACGTGTTTACAATAGAACATATGGATTCCGTAGCTCCGTGCTATGAAACATTCCTGGCACTACTGCAAAAGGTTAAAACTGAGAATGTCTATGCCACGTGGACTGTGGAACAACTGCCTTTAGACTTTCCTAAATATTTCACGTATGATCGCGTGAAAGAATTAGTCCTGTGGAAGATAACCTCAAAAGTAGTGAAATAGTCTGTGATATTGTTTTCGTGTTTAAATATAAATGTTGTTGAAATACTTGTTTTTTTTTTTAAACCAAAAAAAACCTATAGACGGACATTGAACCGATCCACTTTTTTCACGATTTGCTAATATTGATTCGATGATATAACAAATACTGAAAAAATAAAGTTGCGCCAATACAACTTTTGCTTACAGTTTTAATAATAATACAGTAAAAAGGTCCGTATTCGCGAGTTCTTCTTTCCTTATTCGCGGTATTTTTGTGAAACATATTCCCCGCGAATAAAGAGCTTTTGCTGTATAGCGAAAGTATTTTGATATCAAACACTCAAATTAACTTCAGGCAACATTGACTTTTATTAAATAAAATAACGACACAACTCTCATAATTTTAACATTGTACAATAATAAAACAGTATAAAATAATAAATATCGAATAACATATGTGACAGTACATTTTTGATTTAAAAACGAATAATAAATTTATACCTATATTGTTAAAAAAAATAAGTTTTTGTTTTATTGATTTTACTTCTGCGTCGGCCAGAATTCATTATATTTGGTGAGGAATGTTTTCTTTAGTTCCGAATTCCTCGCCTGTTGATCTTTCTCTTTGCTAAGAGTTTCAATACTTTGACCAACGCAAAGATCGCCCGTGAAATGTATGATGACAACTTGCGTATTAAACGATACGTTTTTATCGGGCGAATGCTTCGTGTAGTTTGTTTGTGAATCCAAATCCATGTCTAACGATAAAGTTTCACCGGCTGCAAAAAATATTGTTTTAAACAGATAAAAAAATTAACAATAATTAATCCTAATAGACTCGCAAGACAGGGTGTGTTATAAACAGATCTTAACAAAGATAACCTGCTTGTGAGGGTGTAACCCACTTAAACCCCTTTAGTTGTATGCCAGCGCTCATTTTGAGCAGGCATTTAAGCATTAAAAACGGAACACTTTATCTGACTACCCTCATTTGATTTAAAAGTCGTGAATGTCAATCATCTCAATATTGCTTACAAGGCCTCGAATAACGGCGGAAGGACATAATGGACTTCTTCATCGGTCGCCATACAAAGAAAAAGTCTTAACTGGATGTTTTCCTCTGCGGAAACTGTTTTTTTTTTAATGTTATTACAATTGTACTTTGTTTTGGCAATGGAAATTCTTTAGTAATATCGTCAAGACCTGCGTTGTAGTCGTCCGAGTCGTGTGCGGTAGAGTCTCCGGTACACTCGAGGTCGCAGCGGTTGTCTTTAAGGATTCCACGCATCGTCGTCAGCTTGCTGATCGCCTTCTCGTTGCTCTTGCTATTCTGCTCCACCTTGTGCTTATCGATGTTACGTAGAAGTTTTTTCATCTAAATCAACAAAAATAATAATCATAGCAAATAATTTTGTATCCATAGTAAGACAAAATGTTATTTTCTTCGCCAACTAGACTATCGTTTTTAATAAATTTGGTAATAGTATTTTCAAATATCCTGGCGATCCAAGGTCATGGGCACAATGAGCAGTGACACTCTTCCAGCACCCGCTACCCATTACAATGTGTTCTTCGCAGACACTCGTGCGAAGTTAAGAACCGCCATGATATTTACAACATATTATATCATGTTCAAAATGAATTTTAAATAATGGTCTTACGGTTTTGGACATCTTTTTCGGTGGATCAGGATACGTCATTTTAGGCTCGCCAGGATTACTGCCTACAACATGAAGAGTGTTCTTGGGTATATCAAAATCTGACCGGACAGGCGCGTCCATCCCGTCTTTAAGTCTACCAGGACCAGTAGTCGATTTACTGTTAGTCGGCACGTACGATGATCTTGAATTATCTTTGTGTATTTTACTAATCGGTTGTTTTGTTCTAGAATATTTTTGATCCCGTTTCGTAGGTAGATCGTCATCGTTGGAGAAACTTTCCTCCGAAGTCGATGGGAATACTTCGTTCAGACTGATCACCTCCACGTTACATTCTTCAAGGCTGCACTGACTCCTAGCGCTCGGTATCTGACATAACTGATCCGTTGAATGAATACTTATAAATGATTTCTGTGCAAAATCCAACGTCGGGTCTTCATCCGTAAACGATGATTTCTTTGAGACAGTTACTAGAAGTTCAATGATTACTTATATGTATATTATGTGTTTGTATATTTATATAATTCAATTTGAATATATAACTTACCTGCATATATACAATTTTCAGCATTACTATCAATTATTTCACCTATAAATAAATAAGATTGTTTTTATTATATTTTTTAATGTTTGGTTTTTCAGACGGAAATTAAATTACCTTCATCCTCTTGTCTGCCTTTTCTAAATGTTTCTATAGATTCTATTTCAGATAATTTATGTGCATTCTTCGAATGTGACATATTTTAACAATAAATTTCAATGTGTGAGCTTTGTCAAATGTCTTTGCATTTTTCTCTGCATCGTTCGCCATTGGCAGTTCCAATTTCAATATTCCCAGTGTCAATTTTGTCATAAAACCTCGTTTCATTTGTTAACAATCATCGGGTTTGCTTTTAAAATATGCCATAGAGAAATTATTTATCATTTATTTTGACTTTAAGAATACGACGTTGAACATGGAAAAATCTTCGTATAATTAATAAAAATTTCAAACTATAGTCACCTTCTATGTCCATGATAAGATTAGCACCATATCATCATATTGCATTCTCACGCAATTTAAATATATATGCATTTCAGCTCAATCAGTAAATATGGCACAGATGAAATTAAAAGAAAAACTTGTAAAATCAACAATGCCGTTTCATTTCAAGTTCCAAACTTTCGATTAGACGAAACGACTTCAAACAAAATTATTTACTTACCTTTACTTCGAACTAGCGGTTTCTCGTTATAGATAAAAAAAATATAAATATGTAATAAATATTAAATATAGACACTTCAATTATATCGATTGCATAGATTGAAATATTATGCACCATGTGGCAAGGTTTTATATAGGTAGAACAAGGCAAATAAAACCCATCAGATTATTGAAAATAATTGTTATAATCCATTTCATAAGTACAAGACGTTATTACATATTATACATAAGAACAGTATAATATTTAAAAAAAAACAATTTAAAATAACCGTTGTTCGTTTGAAATGCATATTATGTCACATAATATACAAAAAGCAGATAAAACTTATAATAAAACATTGAACTATGTAAAAATAATGCTACTAGAAGCTGTAACAATCTAATCTTACTTTTAATAGAAAAAGAAAACAATATAGACAGATAATTTATGAAAACTATTTACGCCTAAATTTTGATCTCTTACCTAAATAAGCCCGTATTCGCCCGGACGCTTTCTTCGCCTCATTAAAACTAGGCGTTAGCGGCTTTCGAGCGAGTTTTAAAATCACCCACCACTAGTGCTAAAAATGCAACACTGCGATAAAAAAGCATTGCGTTTTAAAAGTGTTGCCATGTTTAATCTATTTGAACGCGGCGTAAAAAGCATCCGTGCGAAGTCGGGCTATAAAGAATTCTTGTCAATATTAGTTTTCTAAATTGTGAATTTCTGTAAAACCTTTCGATAAATATATGCAAAAGTATACAATGTTTAGGCGAAATATTCGTTTGTAAAGACCCACAAACTTGATATATTTTTCTCTTTTTTTATTACTAAATCTGTGTCATGATTGACATTAGTAAAAAAATTTAAAGAACTAGACCATGGCAACACTCAAAACGATCTTGGCGCGTTACCACAGAGTAATTAGTTTGTGGAACTATGTATATCTTGTCTATATTAACTTGAAAATAAAACAAATATATTGTATTGAGATTAATGAATAAGGCAACCGGATTTACAGTCTTTTCAATGGCAGTATTATTTTCATTTTATTAAAACTTGGTCTATAATTAATCATGCATTTTGTTTTAAAGATTTTTTTAATCGGACAATTAAACAAAAGCATAGATATCTTTTTAAAAACAACATTCTTTGATTATCTAAATACAGCAACGGAAGATTTTAGCTATTTAATGTTCACATATAAACACTAAGAGGAAAAAATCCAGGGGTACGCAACATGGAAACGTTGAATTCAGACTGATAATGAACTTAAAAAGTAATTTAAATTATATTTTCATTTAACTAGAAATATTTTGATACATTCAATCTATGTTTTTATTTTTCCATTGTATCCGAACATCACTGGAATCTACATGCTTATCTCGGGATAAATGTAAAACACATAAAAAAGAAATAAACAAACTAAAATATTTTTTATGCCTTGATTTACATTTTAGACGAGATTATCTTTATTATATTTAAAAATTCATGATTTTAACCAAGATAGTGTAGGCAGAGTGTCATATCATACCGATTAGTTATTTTCGTATTTTGACACGTAAAATACATTCAACTAAATTAAAATTTAATTCAGTATTAGTTAATTTTATTAAGTTAATAACTAAACATAAATTACTTTCGCTCACATTAACAAACATCATCGGTATTTTAGCCATTTGAAGTCGAATCATTCAGAATTTTCGAGATCTTACCAATCAGTGCGAATTTGAATATTTCAAAGTATGCTTACTAAAATTAAAATTATGCATAGCCCAGTTGTATAATTAAAATGTATAAAATTAAATTAATTATAAGTTATATCGTATTAATATTACTGTGATTGGCATTTAAAGAGAGAAAGGTTGCACGTTTTAAGACAGGGGTCGTCAACCTTTTACGTATTGTACATCTACTTTTATAGTATAAAAACAAATAATTAACTGTCGATAAGGGAGCAGAGATTATCATTTTTATTATTTTATTTCTACTGTAAAATGTATAAACCTTATAAATGCCAACCCTGCACTGAGTTTCTAAGTTAGTATTATAGTTTTCAAATATCTTGGCGGCTCTTAACTTCACGCGAGCGCGAGAGAGATGCAGGGTAAGGGCACTGTGCAATTCACATGACCTCGAGCCGCCAAGATATTTGAAAAGAATATTACTATATTTATTGTTAGATTAATAACTTTCGCAATTGGAGCCTTGGACAAATTTCT